TATTCGTCGGTTCAGTGTGTGACATCGCGTAGCTGCAATTGGCTGAATTGAGAATGTGGCCCGGATGCTGATTTTTGGTACAATTCAAAACATCACTCGGCAACTTTTGAAATGAAATTGAGATCCTTAGATTATTGTTTTCTCTAAAATATACAGCATTCACAGGGGCTAAACCTTCATCAGGTTAGTTGTTAAGCACCTGTCTTTAGATTTTGAGCACTTTTGTTGCTTCAAATGAAAAAAAAGAACAAATGACAAATGATCTACCCTACCTTTAAAAGTGTTGACATGTACTGTTTAATGTGGGCAAAATAACATGCAAAAAGATGCTCCTAATGTTTGGGTTGCCTGTCAGTTGCCTTTTCAGCATGGTGTCACAGGTAACCATGATCTATATTTGGGCTAAATGTTGAAACCAAAAGTTTGCTAATGAAAACAAACTGCATAAACTTTGCTCATGGAATTTAATACTGTCTTGTTCTGAAAACGATGAATCACCAACTTTTTGCACTAAAGCAGCTGTAACACTGAAGTTTCTGTTTGAGTGACATTACAGTTTGGCTCGTGAATATGGAAATTCGGATTTGCATAAAAACCTAATTTAAGGCACAAAACACCCTTGAAAATGGCAAATGAAGATTGAAAATTAACTTAATGGAACACTAAGGTGCATTTGCAAAGATTGCATGAAAAAAAAATTCCTTTCAAATCAACCTGAGCCCCAGAGACAAGAGATGACAAAGATTGATCTGACTCACTCAAGGAGTTTCTTGGCATCGTCATAACCCGATTGGCTGAACAGGAATGCTGGGCATATCAATCGACGATTCATCCTCACGGAATGCACTGTCTTCAAGGGTATAATTGTGAAACAGTATAAATAACAGAGGGCAAATAGCTTCTATGTTTCATCAAGGTACCCAGTAGGGCTGTCCATATTCGAATAATTTAGTATTTGATTACTCGAAACTACATTTGACCGAATATTCGGATATTCGAAAATTTGAAACTGCCAGCTGCAACTGAGTGCTGCACTGGTAAAAAGTTGCACAAAACAGCGTGCCAGTTAATATTTGCGTGCAGCAATCGATATGGGCGCTGAAGTGTTTTGCAGCATTTTACAACTGTAAAGGGCTTACCTGCTAAAAGGATGGGAACAATGATCCGTCGTCGACCAAAAGGTACCGCCTACAAAAAAGTGGCGCCCGACAATAAAGCGCTGCAACTTTACGATAAAATAACATCAAGCCGTGTGTATGTGCTTGGTTTTTTTCCCCTGAATATTCAAACTGGCAAAAAGCCATTTAAATATATCCGGTTGGTGATGAAATATTCGAGCATTCGGTATATTCCAGACAGCCCTAGTACCCAGCAAAAAAGTTTAAATGTAGGTAAATGAAAGAAAGAAATAAAATAACTAAGATTTGTTTTTCCTTTATGACTTGATATAAAAGCCTCTGAAAGGATAACAGTAGGAAAACGTGCATCCAACTAAACCTTGAACATTTGCAATTTTTATGTGATTATGGCACAAAGAAGATTTTATGAGAAAACTTGAGATCTCTTAATCCGAAAGAGTACTAGTCTTGATTCAAGTCCAAAGTTGTTTCTTTTCAAAACCTGCTATAAGACATGTGCTTTATTTATCATTGCTGAAAATAATGTAGGCTAGAATAAAAAAAAATATCTGTAAATATTGACTTTAAGTAAGAGGGGAAACATATTGACTTTAGTGATGAAAGAAGTTATTACTAATGCAAAAAGTTGAGTTGGAAAGAAAACACCCTTCTCACCTAGTGATGGGTACCCAGGTGTCAGGGGGTCACCCCCGACGCCTTGTTGAATATACAGAGACCCCCGCTGGACCCTGAGCCCGGTAACCACCACGAATCTGGGTAGACACTAGAGATGCCATCAACAGCATAGTCGGCAGGATCAGAGTAGAGTATCAAGCCTATGGCACCAAAGTGCTTCAGCTTGCTTAGCCTGGGGAAAAAAAAAACAAGAACATAAAGATGTGCAGAGTAGATAAAAATGAATAATGAAGTACTTAGTTTAAACCAGACTAAGCAAGCCTATTCAATTGATTCAGCGTGGCTAAAAAGTTTGTAGAATAAGCTGTAGGGGAAACGTGATAGAATGAAACATCCATTTGGGCCGTTCACATGGAGAGTTGACTTATTGCCTACACATGTATCATTAAACCCCCTGCTGTCTGAACAGTCCCTGAAAGTCAAACAAATTAATCCTCTTCCCTGCCATGCCTTTTACACAAGCTAGTCACCAACAGTCAGATCATATTTCAAGCAAGCACTGAGACTTGTCAAATTCAGTCAACAGACAAAATCAGTAGACAAAATGGTAGGCACAGCTGGTTACCTGCAGTCAAAGCATAGCTGTATCAAGTTAAATGAACAGTAACAGTCAGTCAATCCTGCTTAATAGGCTGGAGAGTTCTTAACTGTTAAAAACAGTCACTTGATTGATTTTGACTGAAAGGACAACTTTGCACAGAATGTATGTTTGCATAGGAGGGTTAAAGTACAAGAAACAAGTGGTGCCAGTCTTATTCACACGTGACAGTTAGTCAATGAGATAGGTAGCCAGTCTAATTCATACGAGACAGTCAGTCAACGAGTCAGTCTGTCAGTCATGACACAGAGGACTGGATCCGCCCTAGACTGCAACTCACCTTGTCCCCTCGGAAGATCTTCCATACCGGGCCACTGCAATCTTCCCAGTCACATTCATGTTGAGGCTGCCCTCCAATAACTGAAAATCTTCCACTCGCCCGTAATTAACGTACACAAGATCTCCCTATAAAAATATCAAAAGCGTCAGATTTCTACATGAAACTAGCATGCCTCTACGGCTGTGGCAACAACAACAAAAACAAAATTCAAAATCCATTCAGAAATATATACATCAAACATTTAAATAGAACCAACGTGATCAGGTTTATTTTAAAAAGAATCCACAATGCCGGTAAACCAACTTTCCAATTTTCAAAGCAATCAAAGCACCTTAATTATTTGCAGCACACATAGTTTTGGGATATGCATCACTGACTTGCAACAATCTGTGTCCAATATGTACATTGTGTATAATTTCTTGCTTGATGTCTTAGGAACCAAGATCCCTGCTCAGTGCTTCTCCTATCAAGCGCTTAGTGGCCACTTCCGAAAGCCCCCGAAAGAGGGGCATATATGGCACAAAGTACGCAATATAGGGTGTCCCGGCTATTTCAAAACGTTTTTCATTCCAATTCACCAAATCTAATATTTAAATTCGTTCAAGAAGAATGTCGCTTCCTTTTTGTAAAACCAATTTAGTAATTTATCATTCAATTTCAAAGTTTGGTCAACGTCTTTGAGTACTTTGGTCAAAACTAGTTGTCAATACAGATTGAGTTCGTCTCAGCTATTGCTGAACGACAGTATTTAGAGATCAAATTCGTTTTATGTCAATCCATTAAAAACTTGTTTTCAGTAATTAGATTAGATTGGTGTGTGCTGAAGAATTTCCCTTGTGTCCTTGAGCACATATGGCACATTTGTTCGCACGATGTTCTCAGACCGAGTAGGTGTGCTTAACTCAGCAAGCAGTACAAAAAGACAAGTGTAAACATCAACAAGAACAACAAAACTTTTAAACTTTTGAAACAAATTAAACAAGTATTCGAGTGCAAGACGAAAACGTCAAAAACTACGATGACCCTTATAGTTCCCCATGTAACATTGTGTAAGCCCAAAACTGAGTCTAATGTATTTTAAGAAGATTAAAATCAAAAGAAACAAACATAGATTCATGAAGAAAAAAGGGGGGGAAAAAGTGGGAAATTGTTGTATCAGCAGCCTGTATGCCTTTTACTGAAGATGTCACACTGAAGTATGACGAAATTGAAAAAAAAAATAGGACTAAATTGTGTGACATAAAACGAATTTTTTTTCTGAATAACACTTGTTTGGCGTAGACGAGACGAAATTGAATACTCTTGGATGAACATGTGTTCATAATTTGTATCCTTGTGGAGTCATTTCTTTGTTCTTGCGTACTAAAGTTTTCGAGTTTGAAAGTGTACATTCAAATTGCTGCTATTTTAACCAGAATTAATTTCCTGGGCTGAAATTTCGACTTAATATCCCTTAGGCCAAAAAAAACAAAGTCTCCGGTTTCTGGTATGGAGCTTGCCCAAAAAGTGGTGCGGCGACACAGCTTTTTTTTTTTTTTTTTAACCTGTTTTTTTTTGCTTCAAATGTCGGCTGATGACTGCAAATGGTGCCCCAACTAAACTTAGTTCAAATATTATGGGAGACCAGAGAGGCCACATAAAGCTATTCTCGATCATAACCCCATCTAAAAACACGTTAAAATTGTGCAGCAGCAGGATTCCAGTCAAACCAGTGAGTTTGGCGGTTTTGAGACATCATCTTTCATTGAAAAAAAACTTTTCATTTTGCCGACGCGCATGGCTACGGCGACACGCGCGCATACCAGAAACCGGAGACTTTTTTTTTGGCCTTACATAAAATACTTCAATTTGCGACACCTTGAAACTCCTAGTTGTGAGTAAAATCCATATATCTATTTCGTGATTATACCTTGTGGAGACGTATTCACATATAGAAATTGCTCTGTGGAGACGTATGCAATCTTTTGTTCCCTATTGTGCACATGTCTCCACAGGGGTACCGTGTACCAGATCATATGAATTTGCTTGAACTAAACTGAATAACTTAACTTGAAATTTTGTATGAAAACGGATGAAATTGAACATTTAAAACAATTTGAATACTAGGAAAGGAAAATGTTTGAAAATAGCCGGGAAAATCTATACCAAGTTTGTTCTGAATGTACACCCACCTGTAGCATCCTGCACAGTGGTCACCCCCCCCCCCCCCCCCCCCCCGATCTCCCTTTGTAATCATTGAGGGAGCACTTGTGCACTGAGTCCATAACACATGAGCACATTCCTCGCATTATTCCAAAGGGTTCAGAAGCATTGTTTCCTCCTTTTTTGTTCGTACCTGTACTGTACCATTGGCAGCATAAGCATTGAAAGGTCGCACGGTATCATTGCTGAGGGTCCCAACATCTAATGGAGGCCTCTTCAGCTTGTGATTGAAAGAACTGGGTGTTGTCACTGTTAAGCACTGATACCTGGCAAAAATTAAAATCCGACCATAAACATTTTGGGATAATCCACTTCGAATTTTTCTTAGGAACATATTTCTACAGGAATACACTCCTCTTAAATGTGTGAAAACTATTTGACATCTCTTTTGGGTTAATTTATTGAAAATTGCACTTCTTTAGACATTTAAAAATTTCCATGCTTTTCCGGACAATGGAGTACCGAAGTGAATACATCACGTGCACAAAATGTGTGTAAAAGACATTAGCGCGTGATTCAACCCGAGAACCAACACGCGCGCGTATTCCATTCGTTTGCACTACACTTTCTGATTCTAAATGACGTCACACTTCGGTACTCTATGGAGGGCGCTGTTGGTGTGATGTCATTTCAGGAAGACACTGTTCAGTTTTTGTTTTCTATTAAAATTGTGAACCCAAAAATTTGCCCATTGAAATTATTTGTGAGAAAAGTTTTCTTATTGGCTTACTACCATGTACCGACACAACAAATCAGCAAAAAAAAAGAAAATCTACAACAGCAAAAATATCCAAAATTCTGGCAACTTTTGGTGCAGAAATAGCTGTAACATTGAGGTTTCTGCCTGAAATGACATCACAATTTTGTTCATGAATATGCAAATTTGCATTAGCATTCAAAACCAAACAGGCACCAAATTACCCTTGATTCCCTTGAAAATAGCAACATAAAAATTGAAAATAGGGTTAAATAGACACAAAGATGCACTTTCAAGGATTGTATCTTAACAAAATGTATTATATATTTGAACATGAGCCCTTTAAGAGCATGCATGACTACGAATTAGATAATTTAAGAACCAATCGACATGCCAAAACCTACGAATCCAATGAACTCTCACAGAGCCACTGACATTTACTGTAACTCATTCAATCATTTGCCACCAAATAAACTAGCCAGCCAGCCAGCAAACCAAACAGCTTGCACCAGCCAAACCCCACCAGCCAACTAGCCAAACAGCCAGCTAACCATCCAATTGGCGAACTGTAAACTGGCCATCCATGCCAGTCAGTGAGCAAGCTGGTGAAAATAGCCGGCAGGCAAATCAACCCCCAGCTAGTTAGCCAACCAACCACATTGTCTTCTCTTCTACCTGTTATACAAAGCAAAAAACAACTACACGCAAATCATATAACAGCTAATCTCTCAACATATCCTCCTGCAAGCAAGCCGCCAGCCAACAAGCAACTCAGTCAACAGGGTATTAAGGGGTAGCCAAGCAGCCAGCCTGCCAATATTCAAATATCTTTCCTGAAAGTCAGGCAATCCCTTTAAAAGTGCCAGAGACCTCAAAAAGTGAAAACCACTTCCACATATGACCCTCCATCACTTATCACTACTGCTAAGTGATAGCCCAGCTGAGAGGTACAACCACCTGCAACCTCAAATACATCTAGATGCCAACTTCCCCCCCCCCTCCTCCAATAGCTCAGGGTCTCACAGATTTACATTAAAAGAATATTGCTAGAAAACGGTAATATGCCACAAAACTTTCAAGTAAAAACTTACATAGTTGGGATCTCTTTACTGGGGTAGGAAAGTAGAACATTGTATGCATTTTGTCGGACCGGTTCCAGACCATACTTGATCCATTCATCTCTGACGTAGTCTGCATTGGATTTGTCCGCTGGCGTTCCTGCTAGGTGGGGGGTGGATGTTAGCTTTCTGTGAATAAGAAGACATAAGAAGTACAAATCAGGTATAAAGAGCAATGTTCCTTTCAGTGTGCAAGCAGATGCACAAGAAACCACTCTGAATTTTATACTTTGTTATTTGAAGAACTTTTTTGAGAAACACATTTTTAATTTTCTATACTGCAGCAGCCTTTAACACAGCTATAACCTTCAGCAACTTCAGAGATGTTTAAGATAGGCCTACACCATGTGAAATGACAATTAAAAAAAAAACCGGAGGTTGTTCTGATGAGAAGCCAAAGATTTTGATGATGATAATGATGGTCAGAGAATGCTTGCAGGGGAGGATCTAGACCAGTCGGGGGGGGGGGGGGGGGGGGGGGGGGTCAGCAGACCAGCCATACTGGAAGTAGCCATAGGTGGCACTGTAATCACTGTGGCATATTTGCCATCAGACACACAATTTTGCTGACAAAAAAATGATTGGGGGGGAGCACATGTGGGTCTTTGCTTTTCTTTTGTCTTGTCCCTTCTTTTATTTACTTTCCCACTCACAAGAGGGGCCCTGGCCTGACGGGTTCTTGTAAGGATTAACTGTCCTTTTAGATAGTTACTCCACATAATTCCATATTATTTGGAGTTTGCATCAACATTGTTTTTGATATCCCAGGAACAAGATCTGAAGGTTTTTGGTAAAAGTCAACAATTGAACAAGTGAATATTAATTACAGCTCAATCAGAATATTATGACTATTTCATGAACTCAGGATCAGGAATGAGAATGTCTTTTGTTTCAAGCACTTGCATTGCCCAAATTATTTTGTTCTTTGTCTAAAAGTCATCAATTGTTGTGTTTATGCCTCAATTTATAATCCAAACATATTTTTTTTTTAATATTGTTTAATTCTGTCAACGCAGAAGAAGGGAATAGATTTTTTTGATAATTTGGTCTTTTATCTTTTGAAATGCGTTCCTGATAAAAATGCCTTTTGATGACCTCAATAAAAAAGCCCTAGTTCTATGGGAATACATTTATGCCAATGGATTGCAATTTAAATTTAATCTTGCAGCTGCCTCTGTCCCTGTGGAGTTGACAGATTCTGTGTGCATCCATAATCACCCACAAGGTACAAGTAGAGTCTGTACATTGCCCCATCATGTGACTCTTGATAAGCAAATGACCAGCAAATACACATAAACTTGAAGTCCAGGTAGATATGATATGCTATATGAATGTTTGCATTTGTCAACAATTTATTGCAAGTCTTAAAATTTACAACTACTACTTGCAGCTGACAAGATCATATACATATATTTGCTCTTAGAAATAAATTACTTGCACAGAGCAACCTCAGTCATAAAGAAATGCGAGTTGCATCTATTTTGTGTAAAATTAGTTCTGGGGAAAAGCCATGGTTTCTTTAATTGATAGTTCTGCCACCCCAACCACAAATAAATCTCCTCTTGATACCAAAAAAGGTCCACATATGTTTCTTTCATTCTACTTGTCTTGTTCAGTATAGTGGGGCAAATAGGGAAAATATTTGGGGGAATTGTGCCTTTGATGATACAAGCATGGCACTTGGCACGCAGTCAGAGTATGTCTTAAGAAAGATATTTGGCTAAAGGGCCATCACAGATTTGTCCTTTGAAAAAATATAGGTAGAATAATAAGCAATTTTCAAAATTTCAAAATGGCTGCCATTGCTTGTATTCTACTATATATTTTCAAAGGACAAATGTGCGATTGCCCTATAGCCAAATATCTTTCTCGTGACATACTCTGACTGTGTGCCAAAAATGCCATGCTTGTATCATCAAAGGCACAATCCCATCACCTATCTGCCATACTAGTACGATTTATGTTGTTTGGCTCATTTATGACAGTCAATGTTTTAAATTGTCAACATGAAAATGAAACTGAACTTTAAAAAAAAAATCACACCTGCCTTGTTATAGGCTGAACTTTGATGATTTAAATTTATAAAGGTGTTTATAAAATGTTGCTGCTAGGTATTGATGCCACTTTTCAAACAAAAAGGACATGGTTCGATGTTGAAAATAATGGCAATTTCTATTTCCTTCATCTTTGACAGTTTAAACCAACTGAGAGTTTTTAAAATATACATTCAGCACACTTTTTAGTGAGTGAAACTTGGATTTCTCTTAAACTGCTTTTTTAACTAGCTAAACAGGACCTGAAGAATCCTTCTTTCAAAAGATTCTACGGTACCTATGAAAGACTACTTCTGTAACAAAGCTCTTTTGTCCAAAAAAAATCTTCTCAACATTTGAGTAACCTTTTGGTGCTGTGTGTTGGTGAATATTTGTTTCGTTTACCCAACTTTGGACTAAGGATGTTATGTTTACACGTTTAAATGTATAAACAAATTAATTCTAAATCCGTTTACAAATTTTCCAAAAACATTTAAACAAAACCTGCATTATAGAAATTTGGCCTACGTTCACCATTCTTGCAGTCTTCTTTTGAGTTAAACCTACATAGCACAAATAATTAAGGATGTTTTCAAACTTATTTAATTTACAAAACCTTTGAAGCGCTTCAATATTTAATTACATCAGGGCCCATGTACATGTAGTTAAGTTTTTACTTTTCAATGAGTGCCATTGTTGATTGATCATGTCAATCACACGGTCTGCAGACATAATGAGCACGCGTCAGCTTTTGTGACGGG